AGGATAGAAATTTAAATTCAGTTGTCTCTTTGCCCTCTTCGCATGCGTGCGTAGAAGAGAATGCTATGTGCCCAACCACAGTAATCACCAAAAAGATGCCAAAACCCCAGCTGAATGGCATCATGATGTTTGTGCAAAAGCGCCGGCATTTTCATGTCGCGCTCTTTTCCTTTTCTGTACCAATCTGCCAAAACCTTTTCCCAACAAGATCCATCCGTTGATACTGCCGTCAGGGAAGATTTCCCTTCAGAATTGCGTTTTCGTTTCCCGCCCATTCCGTTGCATAAGACCTTTTTGCCGCATGTCGCTGTCCCAGCCAAGTACTCTGTTGCGACCTGCGCCATGTGTGTATCGACAGGTACAATTTCATGATGACCCACCGCAAATAGAAGGATGCAATCAGCAACCTTTCGTCCCACTCCGGGAAGGGACAGAAGTTTTTCTCGCCGATCATACAAACTGAGACAAGGGTCCAAAAGATCGTCATACCACTTGTAAGACTGCATGGAGGAACAAAAGCAATTCACGCCTTCCTCCTTTTTCCGCCTGGTTGCACCACTGGATTGAATGATGGAGGCACATTGAACGATGTACTTACTGCGGTACCCAAAACCCAACGTGCGGAGTTCATCTTCCGACCGTCTAGCTAATTCATCCATGCTGGGCATAGTATGTAGAGGTATCCAATCTCCATCTCCCGTATCATCCCTTTTTGCATTTTTTGTAGGCCTCGTGGAGGTGTGATTTAAATAACCCACGTTTCGAACATCGCCTGTTTCAAGGTTGTAATCACACAAGTGGTCTCCATACGAAGTGGCCAATTTCTCCACAAGTCCTGTGATGCGCTGTACGTTATTATTCTGTGAGCAAAGAAATGCTAGAAGGGTCTCATGAATGTTCTGTCGCAAATGACGAATGTTCACAGAAGGCCCTTTGCCAGCATTGGAGGTGAGGTAACGAACCAAAGGATGGTCTCTCATGGGATTGTCACGTGTCCACCGCCGCCATAATTTCTGCAAGTCCACATCCAACGCTAAGTAATGCCGCAAAAAACAGGCTTCTGTAGACAAATCCAATGCATTCTTTGGCTCACGATGAAGACAGCGAAACCAAAAAACATCCCCAGAGAGGTCGTCAGAAGGATGGGACAAAGAGGACCTCATTCCCCGCTTTTCCTCCCCACGTGGGTGGACTGCCTGGAATTCGGGCGGATGGGCAGCATCAGAGAGTTCGTACGCTCCACGTTCCACCACACCAACCCATGTGCCTCGTGGTGTCCGACGCCACCGGAAACACTGTCCACCACAGAGTGTCATTGGCAGATTCACCGCTGCCGGGGATGGTAGCGCATACCACGCGTGCATCGTGGTCGCATATGCATCTATAAAAAAGGCAGTTAAAAAATAAAGCAAGTAAAACAAAAGGAAAACAACAACAAATAACCATAAATAAGAGATTTACTCCATTGCACAGCAAAATAAATGAATGTTTCTCGTCACTGGCTTGTTGATATTTTTTTTATTTCTGTTTTGAGAGAGAGAGAGAAAGAACTCACAGATAGATAACGTTTTTCTCCCTTCCCAGGCAAAAAAAAAAAAAAAAAAAACATAGAACCTAATAAATTTGCACCAGGACGCTAAAAGCAGACACTTTAAAAAAAAACATCAGTTCGCCTGTAAAACCCTCAAAACTTGTTCCGCAATGACGCGGGTTTTGGCGTCGGGATGCATCAACGCCACCGACCCCAAGACGGTAAGAGCTTCTCCTAACGGTGCCTCATCCATTTTAGCTTCCGTCAAAAAGATTTCTGGTGCTGCACCCAAAAGCGCCGATAGTAACTTCACTCCCTCAGACTGCACTTGTGGAATATCGGAGTATCTGGCGCTCCCCACGGCAAAGGTAATTAGCGCGTTTCGGTCGGTGACATCAAGAAACATCAGTACGGTTTTTGATGGTTCTGCCCGCCCTTTCGGTGTCTCGCCGCCAGATAATCTTGGAGATGCGCCGGTTGAGGCCATCACAGCCAAAAACAGGGCGTGACAACTTTCAACGGCTACCTGAGCAATATCCTTCTTACCAAAACGCAAAACTGCGGTACAGATTGCATTGGCAAGCTCAATTAAAGGCGGCATGTAGTGTTTAAAATATAAGCCTATCGTCGTCCTCCCTGAAGGGTGTGCCCGCAGCAGATTGAGGGCCCTCTGATGAATATGAATGGCAAACTCAAATCGTCCGAGCAAGTGAGGGGAGGGGCTCCATTCAACGAGTGCATCGGTGGCGCTGCAATTTTCCTTCCAAAAATTGACCCGCTCCCGACACTGCTGTGCCAATTGAGTGAGTGGCAGCATGACAAAAGGGGTAACGGTATCACTAAACGCCTGGCGATTTAACGCAGCGATCATAACAATCGCTAAACACTCCACTGCAGACCGGCTTAGGCGCTGAAAATCCACAGGAAGAGGAACATCGCAGATCCCTGCGTCGTCCTCGCTCAAAAGCCACGGCATCACCACATCTTCGGTCCAACGTCCAACCATCTGTGCCCCACTCACAAGCTCAGTAAATTCCATCTCTTCTTCCCTTTCTTTTTCCGCAGTGGCGACCACTCCCACCATTTCTCTTTCTTCAGCTTCATGCTCATTCAAGCCAAGATTAGATTTCATTTCTTTCGAACAAAATAATGTCTGGTTTTGGGACAGGAGGAAACCAATACAAAAGAAACCAACACGACATATGAAGAAGGCGATGCTACCATCAACATGTGAAAAAAAACCCTCCTTCAAGTATCGTGACCCAATGTGGCGTAGCTGTTCCATCATAACAGAGGCGTTGTACTTGCACATCAGTTCAAGTATTACGCGCTGAGCATCGAGTGACAATTCTTCGCGGTAATTTGGATTAAGAAGAACGCTCCACAGGAATTCCCACATCTCCGCAATGGGTGGTGGCATTTGCGTCACCGTGAGAAATGTGGCAAAAATTCGTCTGGGGCAGCCCCGAAGAAAAAGCAATGGTGCTATTATTTGATAAATTGACGCGTCCGAGCTCAGTGCCGTTGAAGGCCCAGTGAGATTTTCAAGCCAGACAGTTGAATTGTTTGTGCCCTCTTCTGTGGGCTTCATGATATGAAGACAACTCAAAGAGAGTGCAACTAAACCCTCATTGGTCGCACCGCATACATAAGCTATTTGTGACATCACGCGAACTAGAAGTTCTTGTTCCAACGGAGCTCGTGCCTCCATAGCACGCTGAAGCAGTGGGAGAATACATGTCTTTGTCCAGTTTAATACCCCCTCCGCCCAGTGTCGTCCTAACAATGCAACAAGTCGTATAATTCGCTCATTAATATTTCCCTCTTCCCCAGTAGAGGAATTGGTTACTTGTTGACTTTCAACGGTATCTTGGAGTGTGCCGCAGTGCAATGTTGCAAACGCCAAAATGTCAGCTGGTGTGGAGGGGGTGGCACAGATAGATGGTACGTTTTCTCCCAGCAAAGTCAAGGACTCTTGTATTAGCAGTAACACAACACTACCATCGCTAGTGTGGGCTTCAACAACCAAGCGTAAAGCATGCTGCGCCGAAGATTTTCTTTTAACAGACCGGTCGCGTTGCGTCGCCAGCTTCAACAATGAGCGACAAACATCTTCCGGCCATACTTTTGCAAACAGTTTCGAACTCTGCAATCGGATTTGCAGTTCCTCATCCTGAATACGCAATAACAGTTCCTCCGAAAGAAGTCGCAATACAGGCCGCATCCGCTCGGGTGCAATGGCTCCTCCGTATGCAGAGTCATCGGAGGCCTTTGGAAGCGCGGAGAGTACATCCAGAACATTGCGTCTCGTGTTGGTGTCCCCATGCTGCAGCAAGCGAAAAAGTGAAGGAAGAATGGAATGGGGTCGCTCAACGGCCGCACGTATCATAACCCCAATGACGCACTGCGACGCCCCATCGCGGCCATTCGAAAGAAGTTCCAACAGTTGATCGGGAGAGTCGGCAATAATGCGAAAGGCGGAGTTATTAGATGAGCTGTACAATATTAGCCGCGACAGCAAGGCGCTCAACTTTTGCACATTCTCGTCCCGGTATCGAAGTCCTCGTTGAACAATCGTATTATGAATTTGTTGGGTTAAATTCAATTCACTGAACCAAAGTGCAGCTTGCATCGATGGAGCAGGGGCCGCCGCTACAGCCGCAAGCGCTCCTGAAAGAAGCATTGTGGCGGCAAGAAACACGTCATGCTCCTTTTCTTCTCCCTCAAATGATGGCACAGAAGACACAAAGGAAGCAATAAGAGCGAGTATTTGTTCATCGGTGTGTTGCACCCCCATTTCACCAAGGCCGCCGTAAATGTATGTCCACGCATTTGATAAGCTCCGACAAAAAAAGAAAAGTCGCAACGTGTTTGTCCACATCATGCCACTGATGGCGTGATAGTCTTTTGAATTTTGCCCAAACTGCTTTTCAACAGCTCGCCGAGAGCATTCAAGTGTTTCTTGTTTTTTAATCAGTTGTGCGAATCCATCTTCAAGAGCAATTCTGACCAATGCGAAGGTCTCATTCACCGCCTGCGTTTTCGTTGAAGGATCCACAGAGTTGATGGAACTCATTTCCCAAATAATTTCACTCTGAACCCATTCAAGCGCACGGAGTAATGCCCTCTGTAAAATAGACACCACAGACCAAATACGGGACGGAGCATCACGATCCAACACCGCACGACGACTAGTCGTTGTCTGCTTCTCATCATGTTGATGAACCTCCAATACATCCAGCGCAATCCCATGAAATAAATGCAGCAGTGTATTGTTCGCCTCCACTGTCATAAGTGAAGGCACGTGCAACTCTTTTTTTGTCCCATCCCGTAATGATGCGTCATCACCGTCTACAAAAGCAGCGTCTGCCAGTGTCGTGGCCTCTCTTGTGTCCGCTATCAGTGCCACACACGGCACCACGTCAGCCAGTAATTGTTGGGCAAATTGCACAAAATGGCTATGAAGTCGCTTGCCCTTGGCACAGCCATGAGTCACAGCGCGGACTGTACCGGAAAGAAGAAGCAAATAGCCCAACGTGAGACGACGATGAACACCCATTTGTTTGTGTAGGAATGATCTTCTGACACCAGGGGAACAAAGTGCCTCGACCCATGCTGTTGTGCAACACGGCCGTTCATTCCCCTCACCAAATGCCGAAGCCTCATCGCACAGTAAACGTGTGGATACGTATATCAGCGTTCTTAAACTCGCCTGGGAGGCCAACGCACATGTACACATGCGAAACAGTACGACTGCACCGCCTGTTGCACCCGCATTGGTTGTGGATGAGGATGTTAGACCGGGCGACGG